CTGCTGAAGAATAATAAATTGAAAATCGAAGCATTATTATGGCTATACTTCTTGTGTACACCGTCACACACACAAAAAAAAAAACCACACACACCATTGTAAAATCAATACATTCATTCAGTAGTGGTTTTAACTGGGGGGGGGCGAAGGGGGCACTCGCCCCCCTTGGATTTTTTTTGTGTCAACTGTTATGTTCTGTAAGTTATATATGCATATATATAAGTTATATATGCAACTATTATGGAGGGTGAGGGGGCACAACAATTAAAAATAGCCCCCCCTTGATATTTTATCAAAACCGCCACTGCATTAATTGTTGCGCTCATGCAGAATCTCAATTATGTACTTGGGGCTCCTTGTTTATCAACTATCCCACTGAAATACTACCTGTTGGGCATGTTACTATTCTTATTCTTTCATCAAATGCCCTATTGATTAACGATATTTTTTAATATTGATGATTTAAGTTTCGCAAACTATAATCATTATTAATCGTATATTACCATGATATTATTTCGGATGCTGTGTTTTCAGTGAGATTTAAATTTTTGTATTCGTATATCTGCAAACGCATAAATATRATATGATATTAAGAAATTAATTTTCATTAATTTATAAATAATAACCTTAAATGGGATTTCGGCGTATTTTGTTGACAGATTGTACCGACTGTAAACGTCAATTAGATGTAGTTTATGGGCTTTTAATATATTTTCTTGTAGATGCTTCCCAAATTCGATGTCTATGAAGATAATGCACAATTATTTATTGTATATTATGATTAATGATTATATTATATAATTTTATCTTAGCGACAATGATGATTGTTTAGGTATAAAGTTACTTGACATGTCTATTTCAATATTTATATTAGATTTTAATAGTTCGCCACGTTCATTCGATGATGAGCTTTGTGTTATACTATTAATTATTGCTATTGTGTAGTTCTTGGGCACTTTCATAAGTCCTAGTGTTGATCCTATAGTCATGGAGTTTATACCCAAAAATTCAGAACCATAATAATTCTGTTATAACACATGATTTAAAATACGTGTTTTAAATGTTCTAATGGAACGTTTTATTTTTTTACTTACTACTTTTACATTATTTTGGCTCAAAATATACAAGAAATGACACGATAAGTAAGAACACTCTTCAATATGTTTACATGGGTCATAAACGCAATCAGTTTCTTGGTTAAAAACTGCAATAGGTATAGATTTAGGATACTGTCCATAATAGATGCAATGTAAGCATACTTGAAGTATAGGCATCACGCATAACAACATAAATATCCTAAATTTGACATAAATGTATTGTATTAATTATTAGTTATTATTCATTATAGCTTGTTAGTTGTTGG